TATAGTTGAATTTCAGAAACAGTTAACAAGAAAACACCCTCCAAAGCACTTTGAATTAAAACAGAAAGACCTTAGAAGCTACCTTAGAATCAAGGACTTTCTGGCTTCTTCTGCCCTCCCCTTCTCCCACCCCTAGCCCATTCCCTTAGCTGCCTTAAGACCTGACACAATCACCTTCTATGCCCTCCCTGAAATTTCATTACCTATTCTAGGAAAGGAGACTGAGGAATGTAACCACATCTGGAGGGACTTCATCTGCCTGTTGGGTTCAACCAAATTCCAAAGAGAATCATGTACAAGTTAATATTTCTGACTCCCAGGTCCATTCATCTTCCCTAAAATCATTTACTATCCCACTAAAAATTGCCTACAGCATCTCTTCACCATTTCCCTCTCCCTTCTACGGAGGGCATTTAAGCCTCAATGATCTGGCCCCTCTTTGAGTCTCATATTTTATATGGCTCCTGTGTTTAAGCACATTAAATACATTTGTATGCCTTTTTTTCTCTATGAATTTGTCTACGGGTACTGCCAGTCATTTCCGCTAAACTTTCAAAGAGGGTAAAAGGGAAGCTTTCCATCTGCTTCTACAACATAATATAAAAATGATTTCCTGGCTGGACACAGTGGCTGATGCCTAAAATTCCAGCATTTGGGTAGGCTGAGGTAAGAGGATTACTTGAACCCAGGAGTTGAAACCAGCCTGGGCAATACAGTGAGACCCCATCTCTACAAAAAATGTATTTTTAAATCAGCCAGGTGTGGTGCCATGAGTCTGTAGTCCCATCTACTAAGGAGGCTAAGATGAGAAGATTGTTTGAGCCCGGGAGTATGAGGTTGCAGTGAGTTAAGTCAGGCCACCTGCCCCCTACCCTGGGTGACAGAGCAAGACTGTCTCAAAAAAAATTTTTTTTTCCTAAGAATTATCATGTGTGCTCTCAATTGAAAAAGTCTAGTCCTTCCTCAAGTGAATTTTAGAACTAGTGAGGTTTATAACTCGCTTTTCCAAGGAAGAAAGAGGCATATGCAAATTCTCACTGAAGATCTCTAGAATTGAGCATAGTTTTATCAGCAAGACCTTGTTCTCTTAGCCAAAAATAGCTACAATGCAGGCACCAGCTGTGATAATGATTTCTCTATTTTAGTGTTTTATCTGATTAGACCTAAAGTGATAGTAGTTCACTAACAAAAACTCCTAAAGAGGTGTCTGGTTATAAATTCTCTCTGGTCAAAATCCATCAAGGACCAATTTAAACCATTTCAGATATATTTTGAACTGAGAATATTTTACCATAATAAAATGGACAGACAAGTATGAAACAATGTAAAATTCTAATGATCTTACTTTAAAGTGAAGAAAAGCAGACATACAGGCAATTGGACCCACTTTAACAAATTTCATCCAGGATTTCCTGAAACAGGAAGACAAACTAAACCGAAAAAAAAAATCATTTTTTTCTTAATACTTTATTTTCTTAGTACTCACCTACCCAAAGTGAACTCAAAGAGGGTCTAAAAGAATGGCCTCTATACAAATTGGAACAGAATTTACAGTTAGTAACTTGGGGTCTTTGAAAGAGTTAAGGATTCTGCAACTCTTTTCAGAATCACCCTCTCTTTAAAGCTTGTCCGTCCTTTTTCATTCTCAAGCCTACCTTGACTGTTCTCATTTCTGTTTTCTAATCACCTGTCTCACCTCCTCTAATCATTCCTTCTCCTGATTACTGTCTAACCTCCATTTTTCAAATTCTCGTACACCAGAAATAAAATCTTCAAAACTGGGGAAAATGAGAAAATATTCTTCTCGGGCAACGCCTGTGGCTCAAGGAGTAGGGCGCCAGCCCCATATGCCAGAGGTGGAGGGTTCAAACCCAGCCCTGGCCAAAACCGCAAAAAAAAAAAAAAAAAAAAAAGAAAACATTCTTCTCAAAGCTTCCTTTCCACAGGGCCTTGCACTAGCTGTACTCTCACACACACTGCTCTCTGCCACTGCTCCCATCATTTAGCACATTCCACACCACATCCTCCTGCCACCTGCCACATAGGATGACACAATCAGACTTCCAAATCCCACTTCACCTTCCAAAGTGCCCTCTCCTTTCTTCTCTATCATCCCCATAATCTGCCTAATACTTTTTTATTAAACATTCTGAAGAACATTTAGAATACTAACACTAAACAAGTTGGAGTTAACTTACTAGTAGTGCTATTTTAAGTAAATCATGCTAAGCCTCGATTTTCTTAGCTATAAAAATGGGGATAGTAAGAGTTCAGCCCCTTTGCTCATAGGGTTTTTACGAGAATTAGATAAAATAATTCATACAAAGTGCTTGGTGCAGGATGAGCACTCAATGAAAGCCTTTTTTATGTTGTTGGCCATTATCTCTTAGCTTTCTGTGTATATCTGAAAAGCCCAGCCAGATTCTGGGCTCTTATGGGCAGACTGTATCTTACAGGTGTTTAATACATACACCTTTCTAGAATTTATGACTAAATGACACAATGAGTTCTACATAATGAACTTAAGGGGATAATTACAAAAGATTATATGAGGCTAAAGGAATAATTGTAGCATGCTGTTACCCAGAAATAGTCCAAGGGTTAGGAGACATTAATTTCCCCACACATTTACAGAATGTCCCATTACAGGTCAAGTGTTACTAAGTAGGTCGCAATAATTTGCATGGCAGAGCATGAATAATACCTCACTCCAGAAAGTACCCAAACTTAACTGGTAAATACAGAAGTAGTTTCCAGAGAGATTTCCTCATCAGAAATAGTGTGATGGAAAAGATCGTGTCACAGAAAAGGATCAACTGTGGTCTATGTCCTGAGAAGGGCAGCCGTCATGGCAGACCTGGAAGTAGAGTAAGCACTTTTGTCAGATGTTGTAAATTACCAAAGTATATCTGCATAACTTCTAAGTGCCTGTGATATCCTTCTGGTTACCATTCTCCTAAAAACTGCAGGAGAATTTCTTTGGTTCACAGCTAAGGCAGACAATAATCTAAAAAGCCAGGCTCAGAGTTGAAAGAGCTGGATTTGTCCCAACTATGTTACTATGCAAAATTACATAAAGCAGGAGGTCAGCAAAGTGGGTCTTAAGCAATATACAAATATAATGTGCAGTCTCTCAGTTCTCTATTTCATGCAACCCATCACCAACTGAAGAAAAATCCTTATAAAACACAAACAAGAATCCCTGTAACCATGAGAAAGTTCTATTTCGTTTCTGGAACACAGGACCACTCAACGGTCTGTACTCCATCTTTACTAAGTGGTAAGATGTAGAACAGTGAAATCAAAGTTCATATTACTTGAATACAACTCCCTGAAATTATGATGAAATTTCAATGGGGGGAACTGTTTCATCCATTCATTCAAAAATATTTATGGGCACTCTGGGAGGCCAAGGCAGGTGGATTGCCTGAACTCAGTTCTAGACCAGCCTGAGTAAGAGTGAAACCCCATCTCTAAAAATAGCCAGGCCTTGTGGCTGGTGGCTGTAGGCCTAGCTACCAGGGAAGGTTGATTAGAGAATTGCCTTAGCCCAAGAGTTTGAGGTTGTTGTGAGCTATGACAGCAGAGCACTATACCAAGGGTGACAAAATGAGACTCTGTCTCAGAAATAAGGAAGTAAATAAATACATAAATAACTACAGGGCACCTATATGTTAAGCAGTTCTAGTTGCTAAGGATACAGCCAAAAATCAAAGAGACAAAAACATCTCTTCTTGGGAAGTTCAAATTCCAATGAATTGGAAACAAATGAAGAAGCGATTATACAATATATGGAACGTTACTGGATTGTAGAGAAAAATTAAGCAGGAGGAGGAAACCAGGAGGTGGACATCTATTATTAAGGAACTGAACCTATGATAGTGTCAGGGGAAGGGGCCTTGTAAGCAAAGGAAACGTTAAATCCAGTAGTCCCCAAACAAAATTGTGTGCAGATACTCCTAGAGAAAATTTTAAAAAAACAAAAAAACAAAAAACAGCTGGATTGGTGCCCCAGCCCTTTGCCCTCCACTTACCTGAAGAGTAACTTTCACAAACAACCAAAACATTCTCTCTCCTGAACCTTAGTTTCTTCCTCTGTAAATCAGAGGACTAATACTACCAACTTCATTTGTTTCAAGGAATAAAAATGACGTTTAATGCACTTTAGAGCACTGAGAGATTAGTAAGTGTGCCAGACTAACACCAAGTTTGTTTCCTTGGTCAAATGAGGATAATGGTAGCTATTTTATGGGGCGTTGTGGGCTTTCAACGAGATAACCCACATAAACGACTAGTTAAATAAAAACCCAAGACATGATGGATCAATATTTTCCCTGTGGGGATTTCAAATTGGGCAAGGGCTTGTGGCTGCTCTGCTGAATATGGGACGCCCAGGGTTCACAGGCATTTGCTTAATAAATTGTGAAAAGTCCATTCTAACACTTTGGACGACTTTGCAGTTTTTCCCCACTTCTACACTCTACTGGGACATTCTAGTTTCTAAGAAACCAGTTTTCTTCTCGGAATTCCTTTTAAATGCAGATCTCCTTTAAAAGGCCTTGATTCTCAGTCACCAATAAATGGATTTTCCCCCGGGATCTTCAGAACCCGCCCCGGCCACCCTCCCGCGCGCCGCGTGTTACACAACGGCCGCCTGGTTACTGCGCCCACACCTCGCTAACCACCAGCGCCCACAGCCTCTTTTTATAAAGCTGCGATGACGTCATCCCGCTTCGCGCGTGCGCAGTGATGGTGGCGTGGTCCCGCCCAGGCCCGCGTCGCCGCCGTAACCCGCGCCTTCCAGGAAGAGCTGAGGCTGGCTGGGTGAGTGAGGGCCGACTGTGGGGGTTGGAAGGGGGCTGACAGTCGGACGGCAGCAGAGGCGCATGCAGGGCCGGCGGGGAGGATTGTTAAGGTGAGAGCCAAAGTACGGAGGGAAGTTCACGAGTTCTTCGGGAATAAGCGGTAGTGGGGGCGGTCGGAGGGCAGATGACTCTGAGGCTCTGCGATCGTCGGTTCAAAGGGCAGCGTCTGTCTTGAGTTCTGTCTAAAGTGCTGGTGGCGAGCAGCACGGAAAAGTTCCCGTGAGCTGACTTCCCGGGATTTCCAGCACACTGCATTGATTGGCTCCGTTACAAAGCGAAACTGACAGGTGGGCAGCGAGGATTGGCTTGCGGCGATTTTCCGGGAGCCTCTGTGGTTGCGGGCAAGCCTGGGAGCGGTTGCTGACCGCGGTGCTGAAGTCATGAGCGCCGCACCTGCAGCGGGAACCCTGGTGAGCCCCTGCTGGGCTCGGTGCCCTGCTCTCAATGGGTGTCTGCTTTCCATCAGCGCTGCGCACTCAGGCGGTTCATAGACAACCACTATTTAATTTTGTAAAATTTAGGAAAGCCTCACTGCAAGAAGGAATTTTATTCCTGTTTTTCCCTCCCTTAGGGGCAAGCACCTTCCGCGCTTTTGCACCCAGCCAGATGATTTGCCTTCCGGCTTGGGGCCTTCAAAACATTTCACTAGACCTCCATCTGTGATCGCCCAGTCTCTTTAGCCAAGGTGAGCCTATCGTGTAAAGTGTGCCATCAAAATGGGTTTTCCTAAACACAGATGATTGAGTGCTGAGCAGCGAGGGTAAGATAAGGGAAACCTATTGTGCTTTTCCTTGAAGTTATGCATGAAAAATACTTTCCTGTTTGGAAGAGAGATGGTTGAACTGGGCAGTCTTCCAATAAAAGAAAGACCATGAGTTTCCAGTTGGTTCTCATACTTACTTGTTTGCCTTTCTCTGTGTGTGTGCACATGCATAAGGGATGGTCTTTCTATGTTGAATTTTACAGAGTGGATGGTTTTTCTGTCTGTTGATACAATAAATGTTTACTTGTCTTAGTACCAGCTGCTTGTTTGTTTTTGATTCTGAGTAAGGTTAGAGTCTGAGAGGAAAAAGAGTGGGAAATGTGAAATATGTTGAATTTACCTGATTCACGGTGTTCTTAAGAAGCATCCGACAAATGAAAAACGATGCATCCTGAATGAAAAATGTGTTTAAATGCATTCCTTCATTTTACACATTATTACATCTTAAGTTTTATTTTCCCTTTTGAGTTGAGGTACTAAAGTAATTGAATGTTGCAAAGCTGAGAATGTGATAGAAGTAACTTTAAATGTTTTTATTATTTAGCAGAAAGCTTATACACAGCTTTGATTAAAGATGACTTCCTTGTTTGTTCAAGAAATTCGCCTCTCTAAAAGACATGAAGAAATGTAAGTTTGTTTTAAAAGGATAACTCAAATATAGAACTAAAGATAATTCAAATATAAATTGCCCTGGCTTTATTAGTGAAATACTGTGTGTACAAGAAGACAAATATTTGAAAATGTGCATTTCAATTTTCTAACACTTAAGAGATTTCGGTGTTAGAAAATTTAATTGTCTTTTAAGAATAACCAAGATTAAAAGGTAGAATTATATTATCTCTCTTTTTACTTTTTGTTACTAATATCTAGATAAATTTGTCCTTCCTGTCACCCTTTCTGGGCTCCACATTGTTATTAAATGAACGTTAAGCCTTTTACCCAAGGCTGGTTTGATGGATGTGACCTTTATACTCCCAGGCTCTGTACTTGGTTTAATGTTCTGATGACCCGGTCTCAAATCATTTTACAAGGAGCCCTGTAAATTGTGTAGCCAGTCCTGCTCTTACGTTTAATAGTAACCATTTTCCATCTCTGGGCTTTCAGATTTTTCTCTTTAATTAAGTACCACACCCTATTCCTTGGCTTCCAAGTTATTTTCCTTACAAAAGATGATTGTTCAAAGACCCAGGTTTTTAGTTCTACTTTTAGTTCTACTTGCCCAGTGTAGAATAGTCTTGTGAACCTATTTGGGAAATGGTTAGACTATAATGTATACCACTCTTAGATTTTTTTGTCATCTGACATATTTTCTTATTAATCATTTAAGAGGACCAAAAGCTTATAAAACAGCATTTGAACAAGAAGCTTTTGAAGTCCATAAAGTTCATGTGCAATTTAAAGTAGTTTAACATAGCAAATTGCATACAACTTTATGGACACCCTGTATATTACACATAACAAAGTAGTTTGAGAATTTACTTATAACTTTTTATATTTTTCTTCAATTACTGTTTTACCTTGTTGTGAGTATGCATACATATACACAGCTTCTCATTCATATATCAAACTATCATCTTTCTCTTGGAAAAAGAGGGAAAAAATATTTTTATTGCTTCTTCAAGCATATGGAAGTTTAGCACAATTCTAAATGTGTAACATGAGATTCAGGGGTACTGAAGTGTTAAGCAGAAGGTTTCATATAGCAAGTTATATCAATGTATGTGTGTCGGGAGGTATATATAACTATGTGTACAAAGGGATATGTATTACAGTTTGCATTTTCACCAAAAATTAAAACATATTTTTAACACTCTAAAATAATTTCAAAAGACCAGAGAGGCTAAAAAGCAGAAGCATATACTTATGGCATATATAAAGAATATGTTAATGAAAATAAAAATAATTTTATCCAGACTGACTTAAGACTTATTGAACTGCCTACTTTTTGCTGTCTTATTAATTGTTATAGAAAGTGACTTTACAAGGTTGTTGTTGAAGTGAGCTGAAGTCAAGAGTGATCGAGAAATCATTATCTTTATATTGGTCAGGCAACAAAATGTTTCTTTTTTCTTTAACTTTATATAATCTTCATTTTTCTAGAGTATCACAAAGATTAATGTTACTTCAACAAATGGAAAATAAATTTGGAGATCAAAACACTGAAAAGGCATCTCAGCTGCAAGCAGCCAAAACTGCTTTTAAAAGGAACCTTAGTCTTTTAAAGGTAAGTTTCTATGACTTGGGTGTAGAGATTTTCTCACCTTTCCAAAACATTTCAGTTAGGTGAATAATTTTTATTTATATAATTTCTTCGTTCTGAATAATAACGTACAGCACCTCTGAATAGAATTAATGTATAGCACCTTTTTTGTAAAGTGATGTTAGATGGATAAGTAGCATATGGATTCTCATTTTTTTGAATGAAAAATACTATAGTTTTCTGAAACATGATGTTTTCAGTCAACTAGAAAAATCAATGACTGTGGAAAGAATTTTAAGGTCACCTTTGTGCAAGAAGTAAGAAATAGAAGATGTACCTTTTCACCTTGACTTCTTTTATTTGAAGGAAGTTCCTGATAGGCCATTAAGTACCTATAATGTAGTTAGATGCAACTAGAAACTATCAAACATCACAAAAGCAAGACCCATTTGAGTTTGCCCTACTAGAGCCACAGTCAACACATGGAATTCCTACCTGTGTTGACAGATTTCTCAGAACCCCTCTGATGGTTATGGAGGAGGTGGTCAAAGTGTGTGACTGTGCAGGGCCTCACCATTTGGCCAATGTGCCCATTTGGAGTAAAATCATATGTGTAAGATTTTTGGCTGCTTGTTATACTTTGCTTCCAGAATTGTATGGCTTCATCCATAATTAAAACCCTAAAGTTTGCTTCCATTCAGGCTTCCAAGAGATTCTATGACTAAAACATTTGGTAGTAAGACTATATTATTTAAGTTATAAAGCAGTGTTTTCAGTTTTTATTGTTAAATATTTTCATCGATAGGCATGATATAGTTATCTTCTGTCCTCACTAAAGGATAAAGGAAGAGGAAAACTCAGTTATCTTCTCAGCTTCTGGCAGTTTGATCCACAGTAATTTAAGTCACAGCCATAGTGCTACCAAAGCATTCTATATTGCCATATGTCTTACTTGCCCAATGGTGTTAGCAATATTTATTTTTAAATGGAAATATATAGGGTAGTCTGGAATTTGCTCTGAAAAGTTAGAAAAACTAAATTAGAAGGCTTGACTGCTACCTACCTGCAGCAAGTGATGTGATATTTGGTTTTCAAGTGTTTGCCTTTTAATAAGCAAGTATTCAATGAATGCTCAAAGGGTCCTTACTGTTGAGCTAGCTCTGGACAGAAAGTGGGAAGAACAAAGTATAAATCAGAGTTCTTGATATCAAGGAGATTACAGGCTAAGTTGTTGAAAGCTCCCTGATGTCAAGAACTCAGACTTTCAAAGGTGTCCAACCTTTTGGCCACATTGGAAGAATAGGAGTGGTGTTGGGCCACACATTAAATACACAAACACTAATGAAAGCTAATGAGCAAAAAAAGTCCTCATATAATTTTCATGATATCCACCACGACCGCAGATAAGCAAAAACATCCTCATATAATCCACATGTGGCTCATGGGCCACAGGTTGGCAATCCTATGTGATCAAACATTAAATTACATGGAATAGATCTGGGACTTTAGAATAAGAGTAAAAGGATGTTTGAGAGCTAGAATATTCTGAGAGATCTCACAGAGGAAGTTAAGCTTGAGCTGTGCTTAGATAGGCAGAAGGCAAGGCATACTGTTTGATTCTTACAAAAGAGCCAAGACCAGAAGAATGAATGGCCCTGTTTATGATCATGGGAGTGTGAGCTAACTAGCTTGGAAATTCACAGGGAACAAGATTGGATATTTGTTGTGGGACCAAAGAAGTTGAGACTTGGTATGTAGAGAAAATAGTGTACTGAAAATATCTAAGGAAAAGAAAAATATAGACTTACTTAAGAACCAAATGAGTCGTATTTAAGCAAGACTCATTTGCTATTTAGATGCACAGTGATTTCAAGAATAGAGAGACTAGAGTTAAGAAAAGTAACTAAGCAATCATTGTCTCATATATAAGGAAGTGAATGAACCTGGTTTCATAGTCGTGAGAAACTTCAATTTGGTATGGTATTTCTTTCCCTGCTTATTAAAGTAATATATTCTCACTGTGAAAATTTTAAATGGGTAAAGAAGATGAAATTGAATACCCAAAGCATCCACCCATCTAAAAATTAGTACATTTATGCAAATTAAATTCTCTTTCAGTACTTTAATGTTTATTGAGCACCTGTCACATTACAAACACAATGCTCGCTGTTAAAGATGCAGTCCCTTCCTTGTCGTTTGTTTTTTCGTTTGAATACTTGCATTTGTACTTTTTTCATCTTGTTGTTCCTCAGTGTTTTTTAACCTTTGGAAATAATTTTAGTGGCCCTTGTGAAATTAAAATAAATAGGACTTGATTATAGAATTTTGAGTTGGAAGAGACTTTAAAAAGTATATAATGATTAGATTCTCATCTAAAGATATCCAATTTTATTTAAGCATCAAAGTGTTTTTCAAAGATGTAAGATAGACAAAAGCAGGCCTGCTGTGGCCCAAGGCCCCCATGTGTTCATCCTTTCCTTGCCTGCTCAGCTGTGGCTCTAAGGAAATGTGAAAACCACTGATCTGGGCCAATTCCTTAATTTAGAAATGAGGAAATCGTAGGGTAACTACTCTTGATGCTCTTTATCAAGAGCAGGTTAAGTTACACCTAGGATAGTTACTTTAGAAATACATCATACACTTTAAAAAGGGTTTCAGTAAAACTTGAAAGCATACCTATAAATGATAGTAGCAAAATAAGGATGACCTCTATTAACACCCATTATTTGACCTTATTTAGATCTTCTGGCCAATAAAATAAAATTAAAAGGGTATGATGTTTAGCTTTTTTTTTTTTGAAAGAGTCTCATTCTGTCTCTCAGGCTAGAGTGCAGTGGTGCAATCATAGTTCATTGCAGCTTTAAACTCCTGGGCTCACTTTCTCCAGTGGCTATCTCTTTTTGAGACAGAGTTTTACTATGTTGTCCTTGGTAGAGTGCCATGGCATCACAGCTCACAACAGCCTCAAACTCTTGGGCCCAAGCGATTCTTTTGCCTTAGCTTCCCAAGTAGCTAGGACCACAGGTGCCTACCACGATGCCAGCCATTTTCTTTTTTTGTTGTTGTTGTAGTTGTCATTGTTGTTTTGCAGGCCTGGGCCAGGTTTGACCCCACCAGCCCTGGTGTATGTGGCCAGCAACATAGCCACTGAGCTATGGGTGCCGAGGCCTATTTTATCTTTTTAATTTTTTGTAGAGATGGGGTCTCACTATGTTGCCCAAGCTGGTCTCAAACTCTTGGCCTCAAGTGATCCTCCCACCTTTCCCTCCCACAGTGCGTGTATTATACACCTGAGTACCATGCCCAGCCTCAGCTTTAACTTTTGAAAGGGAAGCTATAACACTTGCATTTTGAAATGATATGGTTAGTAAAATTAATGGAGAAAGGGTACAAAATCAATAGCAATTCTATGTATACAGCTGAAAATGCAAGAGATCATATTCACATTAGTGATCAAATTTTAGCAAGCAACAAGTGCTATGCATGGTTGGTATAAAAACAATTGTTACACTAACATGGGAGATTTAAAAGAAAACTTAAAAGGAAGTGTGTGCCCTCATCCTGACTAAGGAAACTTTCATTTTTCTAAAGCCAGTTGTCACAAAATTATTTTTAGACTTAAAAATGAAAATCCCATTAAATTTGCATTGACCTAAATAAAATGTCTGTAACATTTGGAAAAACAATCTGTTAAGAATATGAAATATCAAAGGATGGTTTTTACAAAGGGACAATAAGGAACCTGAGCAAAACCAAGAGCCCATCTCTAAAAAATAGCCCAGAGTTGTGGTGGGCACTTATACTCCCAGCCACTTGGGAGGCTGAGGCAAGAGAATTGCTTGAGCCCAAGAGTTTGAGATTGCTGTGAGCTATGACACCATGGCACTCAACCTTAGGGTGACTTATTGAGACCCTGTCTCTAAAAAAAAACAACCCCAAAACAAAGGAACAATAAGGAAGATACTAACCCATCAAATATTCATACATATTAGCAAATGAACAGATGTGAATATAAGTAGTGAAAAAACTCAGAGTCAGGCTTTAGTAACTGTCATAAAAGATAGGAAACTAGGTAAGGCTGGGTGTGGTGGCTCATGCTTGTAATTCTAGCACTATGGGAGGCCAAGGCAGGAGGATCCCTTGAGCTCAGGAGTTCTGAGCAAGAGCAAGACCCTTATATCTATTAAAAATAGAAAAATTACCTGGGCATTGTGTGGGGTGCCTGTAGTCCCAGCTAATCCAAAGGCCTACTTGAATTCAGGAGCTGGAGGTTGCTGTGAATTAGGCTGAGGCCACAGCACTCTAGTCTGGGCAACAGAATGAGACTCTGTCTCAAGAAAAAAGAAAAGAAACAAAGAGGAGAGGAGGGGAAGAGAGGGAAGGGAGAGGAAAGAAGGAAAAAGAGAAGAGAAGAGAGAAAAGAAAAAAGTGAACTTTGAAAACACTAACAGTGATTTTTCCCTGCTAGTAAGATAGAATTTATGTGTCTTTTAAGAACAGAAAAATAATTGGGCCATGCGTAGTGGCTCATGCCTGGTGGCTCATGCCTGTAATCCTAGCACTCAGGGAGGCTGAGGTGGGTGGATTGCCTGAGCTCACAGGTTCAAGACCAACCTGAGCGAGAATGAGACCCTGCCTCTAAAAATAGCCAGGTGTTGTGGTGGGCGCCTGTAGGTCCCAGCTACTTAGAGGTTGAGGCAAGAGAATGGCTTGAGCCCAAGAGTTTGAGGTTGCTGTGAGCTATGACACCGCAGCACTCTACCAAGGGTGACAAAGTGAGACTCTGTCTCAAAAAAAGAAAAAAAAGAAGAAAAGAAACATAATTGGTATGAATTTAGAAAAGAAAGGATTTTTTATGGTCATCTCTCCCTTACCTGCTAGAAAATATAGTTTTATCCAGAAAAGCTATTCTATGGTATGTAACTTCATCTCACTAGGAAGCCAAACACTCTGGTGAGAAAGGACGGCAAAGCGCTGTAGTGGATTAGAGATGCAGTGAGGGTTTCCAACGGAGAGTACCCTCA